TCCAAATGGGCAACGAAAAGATAGCAACCAAAACCGGCTCACGAATATGCGTGGTTAATGGTTGGACAAACTGACCTGAACTGAAATGTTCGCTCTAGTTCCACTTCTAACTCAACCATTTGTCAAGTTTGAATTTTGCTTTCTCGCAAAATTAGGCAGAATAAGTTAAGCCGTGTTTGCTGAATAAGCTACTGTATTCTGCCAATTTCTGACGGGTGTACACCAAGCCCTATTGAAGTGAAGGTCACCGAATGGTGATGTTGATGATGATCACCAGATAACATGGAGAAAAAGGTGACAACCCTTAAAGAGAGATTAGAGAGACCGGTGTATGATAGATCCGGTAAGTATTTGGCTAGACATGACAATGCATTTTCAACAAAAGATTGTTCATCGTTTCTTCTGTGCAGATCAGACCATCATTGGAGGAGGTGTTTATGCCTGTTGAGCTTGATCGGCTTGTGGATCATGTTACCTCTGTTGTACGCGAGCAACCTCGAACCAATCTATGTAAGCAAAACCACAAATTAGAAGGCTGATCATTGCACAAGGTGATCCATTTTGCTCAATAAAAGGAAACTTTCTGCAAGAGACACAACTCTGTATTTAGGTTTTGGACGTGGTGAAAATGACTTCGACAGTTAGTGCAAAAGTGAACTATTTGCAGTGACGTACGTTGGTTGGGATGAAGTCGGGGTGCACTAGGAAGTAGCGAGTGAGGGGCATTGGCATTTAACTCACAGTTACGTGTGAGTAGTAGTGTGGGATAATTGATATTGATTTGAGTTGACTGTCCTTCAGACATCGTCTTCACGCACAATCCTCATCCAGTCAACAATACACCCAGAAGTACTAGACTTGAATTTCGGTCTTATTAGAGCTCATCAGTAGTGTCTGTCTACCGTCCCGTCCGAGCTTTGAACTGCGGACCCATCGCATGCAAGGCTTCTCACTACTGTGCCAACCAGCACATGCCAGGGCTGAACCGAATTGCCAATTCATGTTTTTTCATTGAAAGTCGGTCAATTCATTTGGGATAAACTGAGGATTGTGCGTGAAGGTGAAGTCCGTAGGATAGTCAGTTCAAAACAAAATTGTAAATTCGAGCGATGAAATTAACGTTCCAGAAGTTGTTAGGTTCAGGGAAAACTATCTATTCTCCTGATGCCTAAACTTCTTTCTCTCTCCACCGGGACCATTTTCAACCTACTTTGTTTTGTTTCCTGTTTTCTTTGTGTAAATCGTGGACTGGGTAGTGGCAAGCGCAGTCGAATTCAATATGTTTCTTACTGTTGGATAATGGTGACGAATTGGGATACAGTGATAAAGGCGATAAGCTCCGCCGTTACAAGAACTCTTCCACGGTAGAGATGAGTGAGCATTCACCTGAAGCACAAGTTGTCTGCTTTACATTTTTTTATCGAAGAAATGTTCCTTGAAGAAATTATCGCACGTGAGGGTTTGTTCCACCCATTTAGGTAGTTTTTACCCCGCTCGTTTTACTTCGTTTGAGGCGCACCTAGCGAGAATTTTCGGCGTTTGCACTTTCAAAAAATAGTTGGGGGTGAGTAGCTCAAAGGAACAACGAATCGCGTGCTCATCACCGTAGAACCTTGTGAAACACGCAGATGCATTAGCAACACCTTAACAGAGGCTCATCAACATGCATAGCTTAGCGATCACTGGTAGTGTTCCGAGCTAATGGTTTGAAAGCCTTGAAGAACCAAAAGTAGTACAGAGTACGGCCGATCCTGCCCTACCACATTAGGAGCTTCGTGGATGCAGACGGGTGTCAAATGCAACAAATAAAGGTGGTCGATCACTGAAGAGTTAACTTGAGATAAGTGTACCCCTGATTCTATGACTGCTGGAATCATACTAATGGGCATTGCTTTGTGTTTTGGTGTGAATGCGATCGTGCCAGTTGTGTAAGCAGTATCTGACGAAGTAGTAGGGCCTGATCTGGTCCCTTGATCTTTACCGGTGACCCAGTTTTCACTTGAAACTCTAGGCTGCAAGGCATGCGTCCGTCTGCAGTCTTTAGGCCAACTGCTCCTCAAGCGGACTCACGCGGGTTGAGAATAACCGAGAGGCTTATGAACCTCAGATGACTTAAGGCATCTAAATGTAGTTACTCTGGGATGGTCTGCTGCCTGGCCGAACAGCTGTAAAAAAATCTGTTCAACTAACTGGGTTGCATGGATCCCTAGCTTGCGCTTGCATCAATCGAATGGCGAGTGGAGTAAGCGGCAGTCGTGCACTGCTGCGTTGCGGTTTGCACTTAGCTGTATGAAGGCTAGAGATGAGCTCGACACAAAAAGTGGCTCATTCCCGTGCCGAACTTCACTAGATCTCGTTATCTTCATAAATCAGGTTCACCTGCAATGGGTCAACCGCAGTGAAGTAACTAAAGTTAGCGTGGCACGATCATCCAATGCATAGCTTTTCAATTGATCACAGGGTCGCGTATCAAAGATAAAAGTTAAGATCAAAGTTAAAATCGTGAGGTTGGCAAAGATGATCATACTAGAGTAGGTATTAGGTTTACTGAAATTGGATGAATTTATTCACATTTTAACACAACTGTGACGCAGGTCACCAGTTCGATTGGTGATCACTCACACATACAGTCCTGCGTGTTTTCGTAAATGCATTCTTACGGTATCATCCGTTTCACATCGACAGTTAATTAGTCGAAAACAGTCGCTCATCTTTTTTTCGTACTATCTTACCCATGGAACAGAAAGTTACCCATTCAGGAATTCAACTTGTCCGCCGTCCTCGAGGGTCTGGGCTTGACCATGGATCAGTTTGTAGACTTGTGCATTCTGCTCGGTTGCGATTACGTAGACACAATCCGGGGCATTGGNAATCGATCTGTTGCAGAAACACAAGTCATTGGACGCCATTCTGTCCAAATTGGATCGAACCAAATACCCAGTCCCCGAAGATTGGCCGTACGCGGAGGCAAAGAAATTGTTTCTCAATCCGGATGTGGCTGATCCGGACACAATCGAGGTGTGTGTATGTTACTGTCTGTGAACTAGAAAACAGGAAAGAGGCTTAGAGTTTGTCGGCCCCGTAGAAATAGAGAACCTCGTTGGATGAACGCTTATCGAATTTGTCGAATTCGTTTCTTTTGTTTTAACGCGAGGGCCGGGATGCCTATCTGGGTGGCCCCAACGCTGCATACTTTTTGAGACTGCATTCCTGAAAATGTGTTCACGTATATGCTAATTCTATTCTTATAATCTGATTTGAGGTGTTTTATAACCGCCCAAATACCAAATCTTAATTGCACTAAAACAATCTACAGACGCTTCACTCGAATGTGGAACTCTCAATTTTTTTTACACTTTTCCATCACGTACCTTGTAGCACTTCTGGTTCAATGTATTTATTTAGGTACCACTTATTTTAAAGTATTCTGCTAAAGTCACGCGAGTTTGGTTCGTTCCGGTTAGTAACATCTAAAACAGATGCACAACATCGAATCACACTATACATTCGTAACTGTAGTCTGACTAAGAAAGGCGTGTCGTAACAAATGCATCCACTATTACAAATTAGATAATTCCGAGTTTTCAGTTTCAGTTGAAACAGCCATTAGGTGTGCATTTTCGTGCACCGGTTTTTGTTACTGCTTTTTGGTTACCCATTTGGAGTAGTAGAGGGTTGGTTTTAGTGTTAAAACAGTGCAACAGAGAAAATAGAGAATTCTGGTAAACTGTCGTTGCAAGGACATTGAGTTTATGCATGAACGCCACTGGTTGTAAAAGCTAAAACCGAAACTCCGTGTCTCTAACTATCGACTACAACTATCTCGAGGTCCTCAGGAAGATTTTGTGGGCAAGTCTCCTGGTCAGGGTTTTCATACTCTCATGCCAAATCTTAGTTTGACCACCCCTATTTTTTTCCACCCATTACTTACCTCAACAAACATCGCGACCCCTGAAAAACTTCTTGGTGGCACGCGTAGTACACGCCCATCTATCCTTAGTTTGCTACCTACCATTTCCCCACCGTCATTTCTGTGTTGTCCGGATTCGCGTGCTGTGTCGTATTTGGCATACAGAGGAATGGTTCTCCGAGTGTCCATCAGGACACCTGAGATCTGGGAGATTCATCGTTTGTGCTTTAGTCGTGTACTAAAATCCATGTTTGTTTTTATCGATATATTGCATAACTTTCTTGATTTGCCTCCAGTGCTCACTGAATCCCTTGTCGGATGGTTGAACTAAAAAGCCGTGGGAGAGCTCCACTTCGAAGATGGATTTAAACTGTCGTTCATATTGTATTGCGGGTATCTTTTTCCAGCGACTTTCCTGTCTTGTTTACAAAGTGTAGGAAAAATCTGGCCCGTATCCATGTGTGTTGACCAGTGAGAGTGACAGTCTTGACTGGCGATGTAGAATCGATTCGAGTCCGTCGTGAAGAGGTAGACGGTTTCCAGTACGACACTGGTGCTTGATACAGACCATCCGTGGTTTGCTCAGAGTTAAGTGGATGTTTGTGAAGAAAATATGTATCCTGGGTACAACTATATTGGTGAACTGAAAGAAAATTACGCATACTGGACGAGTGGGAACAATCGCAAAACCGGTTGATTTCCCCTCAGAATATGTTCAGTCATGTTCAGTCATTCGGATGCTGATGGTGTTTAGAGGCGTATCTATACCGGCAACCAAATATTGTGTGATTTTGTTGGGACGGAAATTTCATATCCTTGAATTGGTTTAGACTGTCCGTTCTCTCTTTTTGTCCGTGGTGAACAAATTACTCATAAGCGGTGATCTATTCTCTGTTCGATATGCACTATTGGTGATGATCATTATCTCGTCGTCACTTTTCCCACATTAATCTTAGATCAAATGGAACGAACCAGACGAGGACGGTTTGGTCGAATTTATGTGCAATAAACACGGCTTCAAGTCAGTTCAATTTTTTCACTTTGTGCATAATTTTGTGACAATTGTCAATTGTGGTTGGGATGTAGCGAATGGATTGTGACAAGCCATTGGTGCAAAATACGCGTCTCACTGTTTTTGCACTCCTGATGTCGTAGCAAATTTCCCGGGATATGATGGATGTCTATTATTACCCCTTCCAAGACGCAGTTATTCACATATTCACCTTCGTACTAACTATTGGGAGATGTACAGAGCCGCACTTGTTTTTTATACAATTTCACGTGTTATTTTTGACCAAGTCACTACATTCGACAGTTTGGTGCAAGGTCAGTTGATATTACGCGGGGACGAGGGGAAGAGTTGGTGTCAACTGCATTTGTTGTTATAAAGCTCTTTGATTATATATA